GAAGACCGACATGGATCCTCATGTTTCTTGTATAGGGAAAAGAAGGATATTATCACACCATATGTGGAGTCCATGGTGCTTTACGTTGGTGACCTGAAAGAAGTCCCCACCCAGCGGCAGTGCTGGTCCAGTCCCTCAACCAACCGAATCCTCCAAGCTCTTTTTCGGGTCCACTTTTGTGTCCGTGCGACTTCTGAGCGACTTTTGGGCGTAAACGTCCGTCCGTTTGGGCGTAAACGTTTCCGCAGAGCGTGGCCGCGCAGGGACCTGCAATCCGTGGAACCCTGATTTCGGTCACGGGTCTCAGGCGAGTGCACTCGGCGGTCCGGCACGCTGGCTGCGCGACGCCGCGGGTTTGCGTACAAGACCAGGGAAACCCTTTTGTAAGCATCCAGGTTTGGGTGATCTTTGGATTTGGGGACATTGGACAGTTCGGGCACATTCGGGCACCATTCCTTTTCGATTGCATGTTCACCACCAGGATCGAATCGCACGCGCAACACGCCAGGCCTGTTTGGGGCCACAATCACTTGCAGCGGCCTTCTCTTCACTTGTACAGAGGGAAGTCAGGCCAGGCACTGTACAGTTTTCCTGCCCCTGGGCGGCCGTGAGCGATGGTAGAATTCCACACTTGAAAGAAGAGCCTTTAGTTCGTAAAGTGCTTAGCATAGACAACATCCGATAATTTTGGTCAATATATTAATGTCAATATAACTAATATTGGGCCGTGGCGATATCACAGACAGAACTCTCCGTGGCTTGATCCTGATGGGTAGCCAAACTACGTTTACCGGGATCCAAGTCTGAAAGGAGCCGCCTTAATCGCCTTAATCGTTGCGCCAAAAGGTTTCAGACGGTAAATCAAGTGATAGCAACACGAGTACATGTTTTATTACATATATACATCACAGACCCCAACAATGAGGCCGATGTTTTCCCTTGGTGTTTGCTCAGGTGTTCATCACATTGCACAAATTCAATCTTCTGAAACCCTCTCAACTTCAGAAGTGTTGGAGCCCATCCCTCATGGCGAATCTTTAACTATATTTTAAATCTTGGACGTTGGGTTCACTTCAGAATCACAGCCATGTGATCGCACCTGCTATAGCGGAGTGTTTTTCATGTCATGATTGTGAGCCTTGAAGTCTAAGAAGTTCTCTGCGAGCCTCTCGCGCTCCGCTCCATGCGCAACCTTCACGCACCGAACTCGCTCAGCGTGCTCCAAACGGGGCACCGAGCGAGTTTTGGTCGGTCTTCTCGGCCTGGCGAGAATCGAACGCAACGGTTAGTCACGAGCAAAGTAACAACCACCAGCATGCAGAGCATCTGGCCCTTGGGTTTTGGGGAGCGGGTGATCAACTTGGTTTCTGAACTGGCTGAATCCCCAGAAACGGGGTAACAATGGGTAAAGATGCAGTGTTGTTGGTGTTTTCGCTTTTTTCTCCCGAGTTCCTGGAGCCAAAGGCCTGTTCAACGGCCCAGGCCTCTCTTGATAATGGCATCGCATGGCTTCTTGGCCCCCCGAAGTTCGGACCTATCCCCCCTGAAAACTCACACAGACACTGAAAACCACGTCGGTTTGAGGAAGACCGTCTTTGATGGTTTGACCCGGGGTCTATGTGAGTGACTTCGGGAGTGTCCTCGCCTCCAAGATCATATGTCAAAAGTTGTTTCACCCTATGGCCCTATGGAATAGGACAACATGGACCACCCACTCGGGTTGTTTTTCTTTCTCCACAAAGTGCCGCGTTGCTCTGAAATGGTTAAAAGTCGCCTCCTCTTTTGGTCCAAGCCAGTGCCGCCGAGAGCTCAATCCTTCCAACCAGGAGCTTTATACCCCACGTGGCACACCAGGTTCTGGTGTGGGTGTAGAGGTATCCCTTGGTTGGCCGGTTTTTGCACCCAGAAGTTCTGCCAATTCGCAGACTTCAGGGGGCCCAAGTTCTACAAAGACCTACCTGCCGGAGCTGCATCCCTGCGCCAATTCTGGATGCGTGGGCCATTGATTGCCACTTCAAGCAGCCATCGATTGCTACATAGCTTGACCATCAAATTCAGCAGCTGCGAGCAGTTTCGGCCAGGGCTATGCTGGGGACTTGTCGAAATGCGATATGACTCGCAAGGACCTTTGCTGGGAAAGAAGAAAAGCAAGAGTTGTGCAGCTGCACGTGTCTTTGCACCGGATCTTGGACATGTCTCACCCGGTTTTGCTCGGTTTCTGGTTCGATGGATTGTGTCCCAAAATGCTCGGGGCCCGGGAAGGAGGAACCCTTAAACCAGACCGTCCGGACTGGAAAAACACAGAGGCCCCAGACAAACCCCTGAAATCAACCAATTCTTCTGGATGCCAGGGTGCCCGGAAGCGGTGGGGGTGGTCAATAGGCATCCATTGAACCTCTTTTCGGGGCGGACCACGCGAGGTTCGAGGCTCCGCTGGCCTATCTCGTACAGATAGGCCAGTGATCATCCGATCGGGGATAGCACCGGGTCACCGGGTCCACCATGATTTTCTCGAAGAAGAGGACCTCAGGGTATCGAAAATGAGAGCTAGACCATCCTAGAAGCCAGTTGACCTTTGTTTTGATAGGAAAAGACTATGTTTGGGTGACAAAACAGGGGTCACTCAGGTCCTCACTCAGGTTCGATCTTTTTCAGATTTGATCTCTTTGGAGTGTTCTATCATCGTTGCTTTTTGCTTGCCCGGGGAGCCATCTAAGATGTCACGAAAGCTGGCGTCAGCTAGCTGGAGTTACTCTTGCTTTGGTGCCAGCCGGAGGGTGCGACGGCGAGAGGGTCAGTGGGGTATCTAGTTCTTCCCCATGAAACAGGTAGCCGTTGGGAGCTACAAGGAGGTGCCCCAAGCCCACCAAACTGGCTAGTTAGGCCACGGCTGAAACGGAAGGTCGCTGCAGCGCCACCGAACTTGGTCATTGTTGTGCCGCCCGCAGCCGCCCGCAGCCAGCTGGGCGTAGAGACGACTCTCCGACCAAAAGTGTCACATGACGCCGGATGCAGCAGGCTGCCAAGCACCAAAGTGGTCTGGCTGGGGCAGGAATCTTGAGATTTTGCACTTTTGTGGAGGTATAGATTGATGATGGGGGAGGAAAGTGACCTTTGAATCTATATTGATCTAAATGGTGAGCCTTCTTTTGAAAGGTATGAAGTTATATAGTCGGTTGTGTGGATTCACTTTGTTTTGAAAGCGTACGGCTTATATAATACAGAGCCATACAATATGCCAACTGGTAGGGGACACCCCATACCTACCCCCACTGGTTCTGAAATGTTCTGAAAACTCACAGACGCCCTGGAGAACTTCTCGTAGATAGAGATAGAGCCGAGCCAGATGGGGATGGGTCATGGCACCTGGAGCTCAACCAGTCAACCAGTCGCCGTTGACCTCGACCTTCGTAGGCAGTTCGGTCTCCTGGTGCGACTCGGCCGATGTGCAGGTCTTGGCTTGGGCTTCCACCCAGTTGGAAGGACTCTCTGAGTGCCAGACAGACAGTAGCGCAGTGATGCGCAGGGCAGCGCGAGGTCGGTTGTTCACCTACAGTTGGCGTCTTCGGTCTTCGGTTGGCCAAAGTCAATCTGGTTGCGACATTCTGGTTCACAGGTGGAAGAGTGTGAGATTCGGCGGTTAAATTTGGGATGCTGAGTGCTTCTTTTCTTCAGAGTTTGGACCTTGTCTTCAACTTATATATAAGGGGTCGGTGATGTCAGCCTACCCAGGACAAGTGGATAGCCTGAAAAACTTTTTGGTGATGTATTTCCGACAGGTGGAAGATGGATGAAAAAGGTCAACCGATATTTTTCCAGGCAAGCTGAGGGAGTCCGTCATTTACCCTCCATCCAACAAACATGGCAGTGGATTATGGCCCCTTGGAAGACTGTTTTCCTCTACGAATAGGTGGTTTTTCCACTTCCATGATTGTTTCAGGGAGGGTTTTGTCGCATGGCAGCCTGGCAGCCTCAAGCCTCTACACCTGCGCATCTCCCGCTGGCAGGAGTCTTCCTGCACGGCATCCCAGGACTCGACGACTCGGCGAGTGTTTTGGGTTCAGCGAGTTTGGACCAGGGTGTGAAGGAATCGGAGTGGATGACCTTCTTTTCCAGGGAAGAGGATGGGATGGATATCAACAAACTGTTGGGCGATACATCACTCAATCGGGAGATAGATGGACCCAACATGGCTGACACCCGTGAGTGGGTCAAGAGTTGGCCGTATCAAAAACACGCCCTCACCTTCCTGCACTCGCCATCCCATCCTCATCCGACCGAGGCCGGACGCCTGCTGTTGCAGTAGTGTCAAAGGCTCGGACCGTCCGAGTCTTTGGATTGCGGTCTCCGCACCGTCCGAGTGTCCCTGAGTCGGTCCGGGAGTGGCCATGAGTCTGTCACTGGCCCAGCACCCTGTCCCTTTCAGTATGGGTGGCGCAGGAATGAGGACTCCCCAGGCTGGGTGTCTTCCTGTTTGGGCGATTCTTTGGGTGGCGCAGGAATGTGTTCGCACCGGAATAACGAGGCCCAAAGAACGAGCCCCTCCTAAGACCAAGCTCCGCACCGCACCGGGCACCGGCATAGCAGCACCAACCTGAGCGTTTCGAAGACGACACATTTCGCAAAGAAACCACAGGCCTAGACATGGTTGAAGGCAGACTTCCACAGTTGAAGCCCGTACCCCCACTGGGAAAGTTAAACATGGACCAGCGAGAGAATCGTATAAAAAGCAGATATCTTTTGGGAAGAAATACCATTCCATGAACATTCCATGAACAGGAATTGAGATCAACCACCATACATCAAAAAAATTGGCACAGCCCATTGCTTTCAGATGCCGTTCCATTGATTGTTTTGGGGGAGTGGAACTACCACCGATGCTCCTAAGCTATGATCAAAAGTCCAGTGCAGCAGAGCTCTATGATGAGGATTCCAGTGCAGGAGATGAGCCCCTCGGTGTTCTGTGCTGTCCTTTACTTTTTCATAAGGGGTTCCAATCGGGATAACCTTGATTTGGGTAAAAGATTGTATAAATTTGATTTGGGTAAAAGATGGTAAAGGGAACGCAATGGGACACAATATATATATATATATATGTATATATTGTTCTCTAGATAGTCCGAATGATGTTGTTTTGAGCAGAATTCAGCTTCCGCCGTGAGTGACGTGTTCACCATGTGTGACCATCACACGCGTGGCTTAGGTGGGCAAGTGAAGGTGGTTGAAGCTTCTCCTGACATGACCATCCGCGAGTTCAAGAGACAGCTGAAAGCAATGCGAGAAGAGACAGCAGATGAGTTGTCGAAACTGACCTCAGTCGAACTGCTCATGGGTGAAGCTAAGTTGATTGATGATGAGACAGTGATGGAAGCGGGACTTTCTTCAGAGGTGGTTTTGCAAGTTTGCTTCGCGGTCGTCATGATTTGTTAATCAGGTGTTTGGTTTATTTTGATTTGTTGTTTGTATATGTTGTTAATTTTGGGCAGAAGTTTGTTGCAGAACAATTGTTGTGATTATTGCTTTTAATGCCGCAGTCAAGGTCCGCTCAGTAGAGTGTTCAAGAGAAGACAATTCGGGCTGTTATTTGAGAGGCATTGGGGAAGATTTGTTCATGATTCATATTCCAGAGGGCGCCACGGAAATTTCACAAAATGCTTTCCAATTCTGCAGAAGTATCGGAGGGGTGATCCTTTCCGACTCAGTGACAAAGATTGGACCTGGGGCCTTTCGTAACTGCAGCTCTTTGACCAGTTTGACCATCCCGGACTCCCTGACCGAGATTGGAGAAGACTCCTTTCATGGCTGCAGCTCCTTGAACAGCTTAAAGTTACCTGACTCTGTGACCACAATTGGAACCAAGGCCTTTGCTGATTGTAGTTCCTTGACGAGTTTAACAATTCCGAACTCTGTGACTAAGATTGGATCCGCTGCATTTTCTGGATGTAGTTCGTTGGCCAGCCTGACAATTCCAGACTCTGTGACCAAGATTGGGCAAAGGGCCTTTGGAAGCTGCAGCTCGTTGAACAGTTTGGTACTTCCAGGTTCGCTCACCAAGATTGGAATTCGGGCATTCTCCGGATGTAGCTCCTTGACCAGCTTGACATTTCCAGGCCCTGTGACTGAGATTGGATCCGAGGCCTTTGCAGACTGTAAGTCCTTGAGAGGTTTAACTATTCCTCACTCTGTGTCCAAGATTGAACCCGGGGCCTTTTCTGGCTGCAGCTCTTTGACTAGTTTGACGATTCCAGACTCTGTGATCGAGATAGGGCAAGCAGCCTTTTCTGACTGCACGTCCTTGACCAGCTTGGCAATTCCAAGCTTTGTCAACATTTTGGGACAAGCAGCCTTTGCTGGCTGTATATCCTTGACCAGCTTGACAATTCCAGACTCTGTGACCAAGATTGGGCAAGGAGCCTTTCGCATGTGTAGTTCTTTGACAAGTTTGACAATTCCCTATTCCGTGGCCAAGATTGAAACGGGTGCCTTCTCTGGCTGCAGCTCTTTAAGCAGTCTGACATTTCCGGACTTTGCCACAGAGATTGGACAGGCAGCCGTTTCCGGCTGTACCTCCTTGACCAGCTTGACAATTCCAGACTCCGTGACCAAGATCGGACCAGCAGCCTTCTCTGGATGTACATCCTTGACCAGTTTGACAATTCCGGATTCTGTGACCCAGATTGGAAGGGCAGCGTTTTCTGGCTGCACCTCCTTACCCAGCTTGAGACTCCCAGGTATCACGGAGATTGAACAGGACACATTCGATCGCTGTACCTCTTTGACCAAATTGACCTTGCCGAACTCTGTGACCAAAATTGGACAAAAAGCCTTTTCTGGCTGTGCTTCCTTGGCCAGTTTGGCGATCCCAGACACTGTGACCAAGATTGAACTCGGTGCCTTTTTTGGGTGCAAATCTTTGACGAGTTTGACCCTCCCGAACGACACCGAGATTCGATCAGAAACATTCAGCGGTTGCCACGCTTTGGCAACATTGACAGTTCCAAGTTCTGTTACCAAGATTGGACTTAGAGCCTTTCTAGGCTGCAAATCTTTGACCAGCTGCACAATTCTAGGCAAGGTCATCGAGATTGATTCCGAAGCTTTTTGTGGCTGCAGCTCCTTGACCAGATTGACCCTTGACTCTGTGACCAAGATTGGCTCCTTTGCCTTCGAAGGCTGCAGCTGTTTGACTTTGACGCTTCCAGACTCCTTGACTGAAATAGGACACGGGGCTTTTCGAGGATGCAACTCGATTTTGGAGTCGGAGTCCGCGCTGCAAAAAGACCAGACTCGCTGCTGAGGTGATGTAGGTGATGATGTTCAGGTGGTCATACTGACCTCCGCAGCTGTTGACCCTGAACTCTATTTGATTGGAATATAATATATAGTTCATCTTGCTTGGTGTAGATTCATGTGTAGCATCTCCCTCCACCCATCTTCAACGTTTCACGTTGTTTCAAGTTCAGACCGATGCACTTGATTGCTTGCCATGGCCCAGCTCACATGATTCTTGGAGGGATATTTGACAAGTTCGTAACACTTTTTGTTTAAACACGATGTATACAAATAGTGATACTTCTTTGATTTTCTGTGCAAGGTATTTTTTTCACGGAGTCCTTGTGAATTTACCTTCTTCGCACCGGTTCTGCAGTATTTGCCACATTTAACCCACTTTGGACTTGCAATTCCAAATCATTTCCACGAAACCGTTAAGGGGTTGAGCATCGACATCCGTGACGAATGGTCTCCTCGTCCACCAGGCAAACATGCCATTGTTCTGCCTGGTGTTTAGGTGAGGAAGAAAGAGGGAATGATCCATGGAATGATCCATCTACTACAGATTCCTTAATTAGGGATCCATTCCCTGATTCCTGACTAAGCATCGATGTTTGCAACAAAAAGCTTGACAATAGCACCCTTGCCCAGTGCCAGACTTAGAGAAGTGTAGTTTGCCGCCCATTCTGTTTTCGATCTTCCATCGTCCAGGTCGATGACCACAAGGGTTTTGGATGGTTTTGGGGGATCTCAGATTTGTGTGTGATGTTCCAATGGATTTCTGCGATTTTATATATATTGTCAGTATTGTTTGTGTAATGTTACCATGTTCTATTGGGTTTGGGGGAATTCATACTCACTAAGAGCTTTGGGAGATGCAGGGGGGGCCACCTTGTTCTTTCCGAAGTTTCCACGGATCCCAGACACGGAGCTGACTGCACGAGGGGTTCACCCTGGGTCATGAGCTGACGATGTCCAGATATATCCAGCAGATGCAAGGACATCTTACCCACCAAATCCCTGTGCTACAAACAAACCAGTGATGTATTTTGGGACCATGATGAACCATGTACTCGTACTTCCAAGTTTCTTCTCTCGGACAGATGGACAGAAATCATGTGAAAAACCTCAGATGAGGAGAATCTCCCACTGTGAGTCATCCATTTTTTGCACCGCTCATTCAAAATGTTCACCTTCAGAGGTCTAATGACTGGAGAGCCAGAGAACTTTCTTCTTCCTCCCCATGGGATGAGACTTAGAGCCTTTGGCATCCTCCAAGATGCTAGGGTCCATGATGACTCTATAGCATCTATACTTTCGAACTGATAAAACCTGATCCAACCTGATTCCCTTTTCGGACCAAACACAGCACCACAGCAGGGAGCTTAGCTGGATTCCTTGCTTCCTTCGAATCAGGGAGTCACGGCCTCGGCCCCGCCGAAGAGGCCCTGAGCTCGGTGGCAAATATGGCGACTTGGTGCGTGGACCCAGCACCACGTGGCGAGGTCCCGCCACCGCCTCGCGTTTTCGCTCAGCACACGCGCCACCGATGGCGATGGCCGGGGTCTTTCGCACCGCGCCTTGGTGGTGTTTTTGTTTGGCGCTGCCGACGTTTTTCGTTTGTTTACGTTGCTTCCTCGGTGGTTTTGGGGGAGGGTTCCGAGCGGCGCGCCGGAAGCCGAACACCTCCGAACGTAGTCACGTAACACGTAGTCTTGATGTGGGGCGAGGAGGGCAGAGGTGAGCAGGTGAGTTGGTGCCCTCGCTGGAAATGGGGACTTCGCTCTGGCACCATTTCACCAGGCCGAGAACTGCCATGATGTTTACACAACAAGTGCCTCTCCATACCCGCTTGCATCTCGGAATCTCCAGGTGGGGGAAGGCCAGGATCAACACCCTGGCTCATGAGCCTGCGGGACCGCCGCATCGACCGAGTCCCGCGACGGTCAGGTCGTGTTTTCCGATTGGGACACGACGGAGCACGTTGGGAAGCCCAGAGGTTGCGAGGTGGTTCTGGCGTTAAAATGGCCAGGTTCCATTCGACGTAACGCGTTGGGTATTTGTTGGAGATGATGAATTATAGCATCAATCTTGGTTTTGCAGTAAGTTTGATTCTACTTGTACGAGCCGGGGGCGGAGCAATTATATACAGAAGTTTGAGAATGCAGGGCATCATCAATTTATACAAATCATTTGTTGAGCCGTTATACTTTGAGAGCTGTTCTGCTTTGAACCAAGTGAACAGGTGATGTGAGAGGTGTAAGATGTGACTGCTGCAGAAGATGTTGGGCCTGGACTGTCAAGGACACTCATCTACAAATTGCATGCAGTCAAGAACCGTGTCCAAACTTTGAGAGTTTGGATGTAGATCCAACTGCTTCAAGACCATGTCATGTCCAATGCCAAAGCCCCCGAAATCGGAGCATTTTGACAGAACCAGTGCGGTGTCAAAAGGGCTGGTTGGTTGGTGTTGGATAAACCTGTTGCTTATAGGCAGTGCAGATCCTTAGTTGCACTAGGGGATGTATCAAAGCAAGTCCCACTGATTGCCAAGGAAGGATTCCTAGATCCGCGGAGGAAGACGATGCATAGCAAAGGTTAACCATATTGCGGCAAGAAAGCATCATATCCCGGAGCAAAGTTCGACTAATGTCCACAAGTCCCTACAAGTCGCGTGAGTGGTTTATGAAGTGCATGCGTCATGAATGTGTGAGGGGTACCTTTGAATCGCACGAGTGCGGTTCTGGGCGGACAGGTCCCTGGCTTCGCGGAGATTCCAAGGCGAGCTGAGTCACCAAAGCACAGTCGCACTGAGTTTTATGACCTCCACTACAAGACTAACCATTGGGGGCCCGGTACTCCGTTAGCAATAAGTTGTCTCAGTTATAGTAATGTGTATCATCTCCGAGAATGTGTCGAAGATTCTGTCGGAGTATGGACATTAATTGGCATGCTCCTAGTATATTGCGAGATGTTGCGGAATTAAGAAATTAAGTCAGGGGGGTTGCCCCCTGGAAGTTGATTGGTTTGGTGTGGGAACATAAAGGGGGCAGGCAATGATAAACATGGGCATGAAAAGTTTCAAAGGTTTGATGCAAACACATGAAGCTGATGGAAAAACTGGCAAGAAACTGTGGGCCACCACTTTGGGGGCGGGAGGGAACACCCAGCAACCCTACAAATCCATGACGTCCGAAGATACTTATTGAGGGGAGGGTGGGGCTCTGGAGGAGGGTGGGTGATATAAATTTGTTATATTTTAAGGTGTTTTTGCCGGGGATAGGCAGGGGGACGAGAACCCGACTCAAAATTGCTCCAGGGGGGGTTTGCGAGTGATCGGCCGCCCCAAATCTGTAGAAAATTTACTCGAGGCCCGGAGTTTGGCTCAAGGAATGTCTCAAGGAAGCTCAAGGGTACTCTCAATATCTCTGAATGTGCCTTTTTTTAGTTAATTGATGTTAATTGGGGCACCTAACGTAAGAGCCATGGAATTTTGCAAGGCCTTCGGAGTTCAAACACTCCCTGAAAAGTCCAACATTCCTGGATATTACTGGTGTCTCCTGTTTTTTTTTAGATCTAAGTATAAGCCCTCAGGACTTCCTTTCCTTCCACCGGCTGTGCCTGGAACAGGCTGGACGCCGACGGCACGGCGCGGCCCTCCTCCGGGCCCGCAAGGCCGCACGGCGACGGGCTGCGCCAGGCCGGTTGGGCGGTGCGGGAGCGGGCGCAGGTGGTGGGCAGGAAGATCCAGAGCTGAAAACAAGGGGAAATCTCCATGAAAACTCTGGAGTTGGAGGGATGCTCATCATGATTGCATCGTCTTTTCTTCATGTGCATGATGGTGTCATGATCGTGATCATCGATAGTTCTCCCACGCCATTCCCATGATGTTTGAGATGGCACGTCTCAGTCGATTGCCCAGGTGGAGTCCTACGAGATGGAAGATCCGATGGCTGCCCGGGAGGCGGGGATGGATGCACTCGGCCGCTGGGGTTTGGTCATGTGAGTCATAGCCGTGACAATGGAAGCCTCTAAGGTGAAAGTCACCCCAGGTGAGCAGATAGACCGCTGGAAGAGGAGTGGAAGCTGGAAGCGGTGCATATGAGCGGTTCCATGGATTCCATGGATCAATTTGGGTACTTAATGAGCGGTGCAACCGGCCTTCATGCTTCAGTTGACTGCATCTCGTGACACCAGCAGCCAAAAACCTCACAGCTACTGCATTAACCTGCACCTCGCTACCTCACACACTTTCACACCCCCTTTCAGCAGGCAGAGCAAGAGTCTGTGAAGCAAGTCCTAAGGTCCTATAGATGTGACTGCATATAGAAATAGGGACACCCCCAAAGACTCGTGTAAAGGACAAGCGGTTATAGGCTGTAAAATCTTATCAGACCCATGGGTTTGAGGCCTCAATACACACCCATGATCACCAACATCGAACATCCAGATGAACCGACAAACATCGCTAAGACTGTAACTCTACTCTTTGGGGGCGCGGTTTTCCGGACCTACATTTGTGGGTCCTGGAATACGAAGTTTGACTATTATGACTACAAGCAGATCCAAAGGAAAGGTGTTTTAGTCCCCTTCCGTGAGTGGATGTGACAGGGGCACTCCAGATACCGCAAAATAAGCACCCCAGGTACCCCGACATGGAACTCTGCTTAGAGGTTCTGGGACTTATGACTAGGTGATTTGGATACGTCACAAAGCCTGGGGGACAAGAACTCATGTTTCAGCCCCTGGACTGGAGGTTGCCAGACCTGGGGTTCGACTGATTCCAGGTCTTACAGCTCAGAGAGCAGATGAAGAACTTCGTCCAAGAGATGGCCCCTGGTCTTCATGGGATCTGGTGGGTCTTTCGATCCAGGTGGAACCGGACGAACGAAACTGGCAAAGCACGGTTCGAGAAACTGGACAAACTGCTACCCCCACCCAGTCTAAGGGAGTCACCCAGTCTGAGGGAGTTGCTGGCTAATGTTCAAGCGTTTCATTTAGCCCCACAATGACACGTGGAACATGCTGAGCCTTGGGCTGGGCAACTTGCAGGAGTCAGGAGCACGGACATAGCTGAAGTGGGCATTTGGAGCATTTTGTGCCCAGCAGTGAGCCCAAACCGTTTGGTTTGAATGAAGCCCAGTCGCCGCCCCTGTCCAGACAATCCAAAGTACTGGGTCGGTTCAAAATTTCTTTACCAGTGGGTTGGGGTCGCAGTCTTTAAGCACCACACAGTGAGGTGTGGGAAGAATGATCACTTCTTAATTGAACTGGTCTTAGGTCGTGACTTGGAGTTTGCGGTGTCAATCCTTCGTCCCAGCATGAGGTGTCCAAGCCTGTTCACTGAGCCCAAGCCTCCAAGCCTTGCAGGGTGTTCCCTGTCGGACCCAGTCATGGCTTGTTTTACTTTTGCAAGAGTTCAAGCGTCACTGCGTCGGCACCCGTGGCTTGCTTGCCGCCCCCAGTCCAGGTCATTGGAAGAGACGTGTGCATCGTCCTGGAGGAGTGGGACGGACAACAAGTCTCGGTTTCGGTTCGGTCGGAGAGTTCTGACCAGCAGATGCTTCACGAAAGCCTTTACCCCATGGACGGGATTGGATTGGATGGGATGGGATTGGATGGATTTTCGGGCTGGGATCAGGTTTCGAGGTCTCGATAGCTGGGAGCCCAGGAAGCAATTTGGGCCCTGATGTTTGTTGTTTCTTTCCCTTCTGATCCACGGTTCTGGGCAGGCTTCGGTTGGAGGTTTAGCGTGGATATGCGTGGATTGTCCATGATCCACTCAGGAGTTTTGAGCCAGCTGCTCCTTGATACTTCCAAAACGTAGGTTTGGTGTTGGACAGGACTTTGAACCTACCCCAGTAGTAAGTATATAGATGTATATAGTATCTTTCTACAATGATTGGTGATTGGTCCCTCTGCATTACTCGCATGTGGATATGCTTTTGTGGAGTAAAGCTGCTGCCTGAGCCTCCCTGCCTCAACTTTCAAACATGGTGCCAGATTGACCTATGTCAAGCCAGATCTGTTTGCATTTGCTGCCCCACTTTTTATCGGTCCCGGAGCAGCTACATGTCAAGACACCCCAGGCGTTTCCCCTAAATTGACCACGATCACAGGAGGAGAATCAAACTGAGACTGGTTGGTCAAGGAGCCCAGTGTGTTGCAACAGAGACTGGCGACTTTGGAAGAGGATGGACCAACAGCAAAACTGCGGTGTGTGGTGGCATAGAGTGGACATTACCATGCATGGCCTGCTTTTTCGGAGCTTCTCTCCAATTCGGGTGTGAGGTTCTTGGTGTATGATGGTGTATGGCTGCCAGATGATTGATGCCAAGCGGAGACACCTGATCACAAAGCTGTGCAGATGTTGATGTGTCAGTGTCCAAAGCCATGTAAAGTGCATCACCAGGTTCTTAGCTCGTTTTCGATGTTTCATATTTTTGTATATTTTTGTCATGCCTTTGACACCCACCTACCCACCTACATCCACCTACCTACCCACCCACCAACTCCCCCGAATACCAAGGCGATTCCAGTTGAGTCCACACCCACTTCCAAACAGAAAAACCACGCCGCTTCCACCGATTCCACGGACCCTGCGCCGCGGCGGCGAAACCCGAGGCTTCGGCTGACGCCCAACTTGTTGGCCCTGCGGCTCGACGTCGCGGAGGTGTCCCACGAGATCCTTCTGAGGCCGAACATCCGCTCCGCGGCTCCGCGGCTCCGCCTCGGTCGAAGGGGTTTCGGCGGAAACGGTGGGGCAGAGTGGGGGAGACGAGTCCGATGAGGTGGGGGGTCGACCAAAGTGCCGGGTCTTCTCCAGAGTGCAAGGCCCTGGGGTCTATAGATAGGGTGTGCATTGGGCCTGGTAATGGGATAGACCCAAGGTCCCCTCACTAGAATGCTGCTGTCCTGATGAGCAAATCCCAACATAGAAGAGCTTAGGGAGCCCTGATGAAGGTGCAGATTGATTGCGAATAGTCCGCAGACCCAATAGCTTCAAAATGCTTCAAAGGGTCCAAAAGACAGAGACACTCAAAATGCTGTGACCTGATTCAGTGACCTGAAGGTGCCTGTATGGGTTATGATGTGTCCTCCCGACAGACAGCGGGAGACAAAACATCAAGTTCTTGATCGCCGCTTGGGACGCTTCATCACGTTCCCGTTCCTTTCATCGCCCCTGGACTACGCTTTGGTTCACTAGGCCCCTACAGATCCTACAGTGGAGCCCTGCCAAATGTGGCACCCTAACCCCAACCGCCGCGCCTGGTGAAACAGGAATGAGCTGTCCGGCCGTGTGCTCACGTAGCCTGAAACCCGAACCGAAACCCGGCGGGGCCGTTCTCCGCGCCAGGAACATCCGCGATGCGCGGGCGGGGAAGATGGGCGACGGTCCCGTGAAGCTGGACGGGAGAGCGAGCGATGAACAGAGGAGATGGGGTTGTGTTTGAATAGGGAGACACCCAACCAATGGGTAGACTGGTCTACTTTCATCTACTTTCCTTCTTCCAGGGAGTCGAACTGGGAGGTCTCCCTGTTTGAACATGCACCCATATTGTGGCGATGAAGTCTAAGGAGGTTGGGGATCGAGTCATGGATAGTCCCAGAAAATATGCTTTTTTGGGGGAGTGTCCCCATTTCTTCCAGTTATTGGGGTTGAGGCACTTCTGCTCAAGAACAGTTTTTTTGGCTGGGATCCCAAAAGGCAACTTGATGTAGGGGTTGTGCCAGGGTGGGACTTGTGACATGGTTAAGTTCAAGCTTGGTAAATAAAATAACAAGAGAAATCAAGAGAACATATTTATACAATTTTGTGATTATGAAGTTTGCGCTGTCCTTTGGTGCTTCAACGCAGTGTGGAGTCTTTTGGGGCAATCCTTCTCTACAAAGTGTTAGCATTGAAGGGTTTTTGCTTGTTATATATTTAGGGCCGCTATGAAAGGCGTATGCTACTCAGGTTGCATATGTTAATTTATTTATATTGACTCCCACCCAGATTCCCTGTTGGAGGTGAAATCATACTATGCAAGAGCAGCTCTTTGTATCATACCAGCATCATCCAATAGGTCTCCTGGCGATCTCCTGTTTCAGATATCAAAAGATATCAGAAGCAAGCTGTTGGAACTTCTTTTTCCAGAACCGGCGCTCACGTCCTCCATCAGCAACGCTGTTTCTTTCTTCCCAAGCTCTTTCCGTCCCAGAGATTCACTTCCGTCAGGGCAAGGCAGTTCCCCGTCTTCCCGTCTTCCAGGATGATCTCTGCAGCACCCTGATGCTGAAGGGCGGAGAGTGTGTCTCGCAGGGGACGCCTGGGCGAGACACCTCGCGGGCGGCGGGACGGCAAGAACGGGAACTGAGCAGTGTCGGAGTGTGGGGTTTCCAGACCTTCAATAGATTTGAGAAGCATTGAGAAATGACTGACATCTGGATGTAGGAGGACTTGCCAACCCCTAGACGCTTTGTGTTTGTACATACAGCTTGTTGGAAAGCCTGTCAAATGAATTCAAATGAAAAGGATGACTGCAGAAAACAAAGATTGATGGAATTCCGTGGCATTGATTGCAGGACCAGAATTACTGTATTCTTTCTGAAAATGTCAAGTCCTGAGAACTGTAGCAGAATTCTAAACTCCTCCACCCGTGGGCTGCTCTCCGCTCGCTCATTGGAGCTGCGTCAGAATGACACACACGCAGGAGGAGCCGAACGACAAGGGCAAAACACAATCGTTCCACGCAGTCGTTTGCACCAGTCTCATCTTCATGATATGGTGCAATCCGGCCGCGCAAAACGCACGGGGTGGCACAAGGTTGAAGATTCAATCATGGCCCAAGAAACCACAAAAGCAATCCCTATGGTGCCAAAGAACTTATATCTTCATCGAACCACCAACCGCCCCCCCAAACCCGTTTCGAGCGGAGGTTCCGTTTCGCGACGATGGCGGAGCGGAATCACTTCACCAAGTGCGTGAAGGCGTTTTCCTGGGCCGCTCGGGTACACGGTGGAAGGTCGGAGGTGCCATGGGCAGCAACGGTGGGCAGCAACCAGGGCAGCAACCAGGCATGCCAATTTGAACGCTTTCCATTGACAGGCATTTGAGCTTTGATTGGCGCCCAGACCATTTTTGCCTCCAAACACGCCAAATCAGACTTAACTCTTGGACGGATCATGGTATTACTTGGCCAGCTCAACATACGCAAACATTAAATATAAGCATGCGTCGTCCCCGTATCAACCATTCAGACAGTCCCCAGATCAACCCAGAAATCCTTCGGCCCGCACAGCAAACTGACCAATTGAGGTCAGAGGCGTGGTTTGTTTTCTGAGATCCAAACAGATAGGTGGTTAATCAAGCGACATGTGCTGAAACACCAATGTGAATATGGGCCTTGCCAAAAGAGGTCGACATGAGATGTGAGCCAAGACTTTCGACTAGTGACAATACATTGGATGGATCAAGAATGGAGGAACGATTGCCGATGACCTCCTGTCCAAAAGACCATATTTGTCAATCTGGTCAATCAATTCTCTGCGCAGGTCTTGGCCCTGGCATTGGAGCAGTAGTCGAAAAGATCCATTAGCTTGTGCAGATGACTCACAATCCTTCCATTCTTGAAGCACGTGGATATGTCATTGGAAACACAATGTTGGATTCTTCTTGGAGGGGACAGAAAGATAACATCAGTGCAGAAAAAGTGTGTGTTCTTCTTAAATCGTCTTAATCTTGCTTGCAAACAGTATGTATAGTAATATTTCAATATTTGCAGACATCTTGCACGTTTCACCTTGCAAATGAACCCAAAGGAGGAGGATGTGTTACATACACATCAACTCCTGTTCCAAGCAATCCCGGACAAAAAGGATGCGTATCAATGTGAAAAAACATAGATTGAATGCATTTCAATGTATGAGCAGCTGTATGAGCAACTGCCAAAACCTCCGAATCTCTACAGTGAAGACTAAGTAAGTAAATGGGGGAAATCTTCAGGAAAGACGAGGTTCATAAGAAAAACAATAAGGTTTTAGTGTGTTTTAGTGCTTGTAGTGTATCTATATTTAAGGGCTTACGCCCGACAGCCGGCCAGGGGCGTTGAGGTAGGGGCTGGAGGGTGGAAGATTGGGTGTGGGTGCAGGCTGAGGGAGTGGATGTTGGGCGGGCTTGGGGCTATGTTGCGCACAGCTTGGGTCTAGCTTAGGCCATCTGGAGCCTTTGTTGCGCGGTCTTGGGGCTATGTTGAGCATAGCTTGCGTCTAGCTTGGGCCATCTTGGGCCCATATTGGCTCAGCTTGAGCCCATGTTGGCCTAGCTTGGGCCCATGTTAGCCCAGCATCCGCCCACGATGCCGACGAAGCATCCCGGTGCGGCCAGCATTTCCAGCATTATTTGGGCCTATGTTGGGCTATGTTGACCCATCGTGAGCAACAAGCGCGGAAAAAAAGACGTCAAAAGCCCTGACCTGAGTTTCCTGGGGTCGGCGGCAGGGGGCGGAATTGCTTTCTGCTTCTGGAGGGACACAGCCCTGACGGGGCTCATCGCCCCTGGCCGGATTTATGAGGCACGCCTGACAGCCGGGCGCCGGCCTATGTGGGTATGTGTAGGGCGTCTCTGTGCAAGACGGGGACCGGGACTTCGGGCGTCCCGGTAGCATCCTTCTCGAGAAGGGGGCTGACCGCCCGGGCGTATACCTGGTATACGCCGAAGTCGGGAGAGACGTCTTGCACATGTCCTACCGCCTCTCTCTCTCTCTCTCTCTCCTCTCTCCCTCCCCTCTCTCTGTCTGTCTCTGTCTCTGTCTCCATCTCGGTCTCTGTCTGTCTCTGTCTCTGTCTCTGTCCCTGTCTGTCTCCTCTGTCTGTCGCTGTCTCTGTCTCTGTCTGTCTCCTCTGTCTGTCGCTGTCTCTGTCTCTGTCTGTCTCCTCTGTCTGTCGCTGTCTCTGTCTCTGTCTTCTCTGTCTTTGTCTTCTCTGTCTCTGTCTCGGTCTTCTCTGTCTCGGTCTTCGCTGTCTCTGTCTCTCTCTCTCTCTCTCCCTCTTTTTGAGACTGTGTGAGGCCTATGTTGCCACATCTTGAGGCAGTCTTGGCCCATCTAGGGGCTAGGCTTCCCATATCTGAGACCTAGGTCGGGTCATCTTGCGGCTATGTGTGCCATATCTGGGACTATGTTGGGTCCTCTTGAGGCCTCTGTCAGATTATCTTGGAGCACATGTTCCGCCTTTGCTGTTGGCGCGTGCCCAACACCCACGAAATGTCGCTACGCCCTTCCCCCATCTACTTCTGCGCGCAAAGGGGTGCAGGCGTAGGTGATGGCTATAGGCAGTTCTGCTGTCTTGTAGATTATTTAAAATTGGCTGGTGTCGCTGCGTACGGTTTCAGGGCGGAACAAAGACATTATTTACGGAAAGGGTGTTAGACGGTAGCGGCTTGGGTGTCTAACGTTGGTTTTGGAATATTTTGGAATCTTATAGAAAAAGAGGTGCGGAGCCCGTAGTAGCGACCGAGGTGATGGATGGGAACGCAAATAATTCCGAATAATATTTCCTAATTAAAAAAATATAACGTCCGAAACCCTAAATTCGACGTATAATTGTTTTAAATTATCGTTTTTAAAGACCATTATTGAATTATTAATATAATCGATTTTACGAATATATTTTTTTATTCTAAAAATATCCGTAATTATGTATATGTATTTATTATAATACGCCGCATTTATATTAATAGGTTGTTTTTCTTTTAATAATATAAATTTATATAAATATATTTATTATCGAGGTCGTGCAAAATCGTATGGTATAGCGATATTATCTTTCGAAAATTTTGCTTATTTATTTAATGAAATTATATTTTAATAAAGGCTTCTGTAGGGAAAAAGGACAATTTTTCGATTTGGTTATAATTTAAATTATTGATATGAATTAATGTAAAGATTTTATAGAATTTTTTTTGGAAATTGAAATTTATTTAGGTAATTTTATTTTGGATTTGCCCGATTGTAGACGATTGAATCTTTTTTATTAGGGAATGAGGATGGGATTCGTAATTATGAATAAATGAAAATAATTATTTAGAATTTGTAAGGTCCGTTAAAAGATAGATTGCCGAATCGTAGTAATGTAATGTAGGTTATTGGCCACGGTTGCGGAAATTGTAAGATTTAGATTATTAGTTATGGTTTCTCGTTGTGCCGTTAAAATGTAGCAATTTAGGTGATGGCCATAGAATGGTTTGTTGTCTTATAAAACCCTAAAATGGATTGATATCGTTGTGTAGGGTTTCGGAACCAAAGATATCGTCCGTTTCTGCGTATCATAACGGTCTTAGACGTTAACGATTAGGATATATAATATTGTTATTGAATCCCGATAGAAAAGGAGGTGTGGAACCTAGGGTAAATCGTAGTTGGAGCCTGCGCCTGCCAAAAAAAAAGCCCAAAGGGCGATTGCGCTTGACACTGCAAGGTACATCCATTGAGCCACGTTATTTTTGTAAATGATTAGGTTTATACAAAAAGGGAATTGTTGAGAAGTCGCGGAGGTTGTTTTGCTTGGGGCGTAGGCGTCGTGTAAACATTTTACGTAGGTGGATATTGAAAGATTTGCGTAGGCAATCTTGCATAGGTATCCTTTTCATGAAAGCCTGAATATTCTTATTCAGATTTCTTTAAAATTGTTTAAGGGTCTTGGGGAAAGATAATATTGGCTTGTAGTTGTTTAATTTAACACTTGCTTGCAAATTCCAGTGGGGAAGGAAAATGAAAATGAATTGTAACGATATGGCTACAATGGATGTTTGAAATTTGTTTGTCGAAGCTATGGGGGCACATTGGTTTTTGAGGTCAAAAGCTTGATCGTGCTTGGTCTGGCACACCGGTTCTTGAGCTACAACTGTGTGCATCCTGTTGGCACCATAATCAATGGACCTATTTTCGCGTTAGGCCCCCGCGTAGGCGCTCGCGGAAGCAGCGCGTAGGCAAGAAGCTATTGGCTGCTGCTACTGCTTGGCTGTTGCTTTTGCTGCTGCTTGGCTGCTGCTGCTGGTGCTGCTGCCTTTTGTTTTCTGCTGCTTGTTTGCTGCTTGTTGTGCGCTGTTTATGTATTATTGCTTCCACACTGTAATTGGATCGGTTTGATACAAAATCTATCTGGCCATCGGTAGCAAAGTTGGAAACGCCTTGTAAATAGGAACCTGATGTGATCCGGTCGTATCGGGCCACTACTTGCGGATTATATAGCTCTTTTCGAGTCACCTAATGCGACTATGTGACTAAAATTGGTGACAATACCCTGCGTAGGCATCCCGCGTAGGCACCTAACAAAGAGAACCTCTCGCGTAGGCATTTGCTTGAGAGGGGAGCCCAGGCGTAGGCACCCGCGTAGATACAGACCCAGTGTATAAGTCCCACACCACAAAAAAAATACAACTCCATTGGCAATGGCTCCCACGTTGCGATGTCCTAGGCGCCGCCTCGCCTAGGCGTCAACTAGATAGATTCAGATATTGAGGTTTATGAATATGTTCTTTTTTATAGAAAATATATTTTTAAAAGAAAAGAATACAATATAGTTAATTCGGATTCTTTTCATTATATAAATATATATTTTATTGTATAGAATTGATATTTTTTAATTTATACCCATATAGGTGATTATTGATTTAACAATTTAGTTAAATGAAGATAAATATTAAGAAAATGATTTTTTATATATTTTTGATATAAATTTATGATATATCAAATTTGATTATTAATTAATAAATTCATATCTAAATAATATATTTATTCGATAGAAATTAGTTATTTTATATTAATATTTAGACTAATTAACATATTATATGTAAGTATTTTCTATTTTTAATTATATATAATGGAATTAATATATGAAGTCAATATATAAAAAAAATATAACCATTTAAGAATATATTATTTAATTCTATATCATATTCATTCATATTTATTCAATTTTTTATAATTACCTATATATATATATCTTCAAATCGTAAATAAAATCTAAATAAGAATATATTAAATCTATTTTCAATTAAAAAATCATACGATTCTTTATTATTTTTGCGAATTACAAATTATCCAATGAATTTATATCATATATACAATTACGATGTATTATATATATTTATTTCTATTTCAATTAATCAATATCCATTATCCAAATAATATCCAAAATCCTATATAATATTTATACTATATTATTTAATATCCATTATATCTGATTATATCATATATTTATTGGTGTTCAAATCCTCATTTGAACATATTTTTATATTGTTCAATGATCATCCCCATATTATCTTATTTTATTTCATTCGTTATATTTCGTAAAAATATTATTCATATATATATATATATAATATATAATAATAGAATTATTCCGCAAAAAAATCTTCCTTAATAAATCAATATTTATAGTATATTTTTATACAAGTAATTTCAGGGCAAGCCGGCAGCGGAAATTTCCAAAAGAATAAACCTATAGGAAATGGGCATGTAGCAGACTAATTCGCCGAGCTGCAATATTCTTTGATAAAACAAATTAGAATCGACCAATAGAGCGAAAACGAAGCAACCACCATCAACGACCTCGCAGGAAAAAAGGTTATTCATGCATTTTTGCAAAATACAAAATAAACATGACTCAGCCGCGTATTAAAGTTGTACTACAAAGTCGCCAATTCTCAGCTTCCAACTCCACGGCTTCTTCCGTATACTAGAGTTGTACTACAAAGTTGCCAATTCTCAGCTTCCAGTTCCCCAGATACTCCGCGTACTAAAGTTATACTACAAAATCACCTATTCTCATCTTCCAGCTCCCCAAATACTCCGCGTACTAAAATTATACTACAAAATCGCCAGTTCTCAGCTTGCAACTCCACAGATTGCTCCGCGTACTAAAGTTGTATTGCAAAGTCGCCAATTCTTATCTTCCAATTCCCCAGATACTGCGTGTATTAAAGTTGTGCTCCCCAAATACTCCCCGTACTAAAATTGTACTACAAAGTCGCCAGTTCTCAGCTTCCAGCTCCCCAGATTGCTCCGCGTACTAAAGTTGTACTACAAAGTCGCCAGTTCTCAGCTTCCAGCTCCACTGATTGCTCCGCGTACTAAAGTTGTACTAGAAAATCGCCAGTTCTCATCTTCCAGTTACCCAGATACTCCGCGTACTAAAGTTGTATACAAAGTCGACAGTTCTCAGTTTGCAGCTCCACAAATTGCTCCGCGTACTAAAATTATATTACAAAGTCGCCAGTTCTCAGCTCTGCTGCGCCCGCCACGAAATCTGCACATGGAGCTTCACAAAGCGCTGTGCCTGCCACGAAATCTGGACCACGAGATTCATAAAGTGCTGTGCCTGCCACGAAATCTGCACATCGAGGTTCACGAAGTACTGCGCCTGCCACGCAATCTGCACATCGAGGTTCACAAAGTGCTGTGCCTGCC